ATTATCATGCAGTTGGTGTTTAACGTTAGAATTGTCGAAAATTAGGCTTAGTTTGAGAAAAATGTGATTTTGGGATTAATAATTAGAGGTATTGAATTTGGAAATTGAGGAAAATTATCTGACAGAATTTGAGGGCTTTGATAGCTCAGTGGAGGAATATCATTAATTTTACGTTGGAAATTGAAGAAATTTAGATTTTTGTTCTGTTTGGAAGTGTTTAAGTTGAAGACTCACGTTTTCAGAAGTGACATGATTATCATGAGGAGGGCGGCATGAGAAGCTGTATTTTCTCAGGTGGGACTGAAATTATAAATTTTGACTTGTTGGTTAACAAATTTGGAATTTTTAAGGTAGAGGAAGATTATTGTTCCATTTGATTGTGTCACATGGGTGCCAATACAATGCAGGTTTATAGACCTAATTTTAGATGGATTGGCTAGCTAATTATGTATAGAAAGTTAAAGTATCAGGTGGTGCATGATTAGGGCATGTTAAGAAGGAATTTGATACGTGGCTTGTAGAGATGTGGTTTAGACGTGGCTATGACTGGATGTAGATGCATTTATGTTACATGATATGGAAGATGGATGTGCTGCCAAATTTAGAAATAGAGATATGAAGGGCTAGGGCATTGAAATTTTTTAGAGGCAGAGAGTTTTGAAGTTTTAATAGACACATTACACATATAAGGTTATAGTAATAAGTTGATTTAGTGGGTCGTTATTGGTGTATGGCGGATAATTGACGTGTGGGTTGTTTTGCATGTTGGCCAGCAACTTTTAGGTTTGTTGTGCTTGTAGATTGATGAGTGTGATGTATTTGCACATAATCTTGTTTTAGTGTGCTGAAGTCAATACTTTTGCTATCTTGTGTATGAGTATGAATTGGTTGGTATGTCAAGTGTACAAAAATCATGTAATGTTCTTGGTCATTATTACGAGAAGTTGCGCTTGACTGTTGAATTCAATCACTCTATATGTCAACTATGGCAAGACAGCTGGACTGACTTTGAAGTTCTGTCAAACCATAAGTGTGGGTAAACGTCTTGACACGTGGTGGGATGTCAAAGATATTTTCTGTAACTGAGACATTTTGTACTTGCAGACAGAAATTTCAGAAGGCTTACAAATTGGAAAGAATTTATGTTTTTCAGTGTCCAAATATTTCTACGCTTGTAAAATGTTTTGATTGATGGATATGCATTTGGTGGCTTCTGAAGGAAGTCGGGCTATGACATGGATTGATAACTTTTTTTCTTCTTTCTGGATCTTGGAAGTTGAAAGGAATTTTATCCGAGGTTCCTTATCATGTTGGGTTTAGTTTCTGAAGAATTCTAAAGTATTCCAACCTTGAAATTTCATAAATGAATGCATTCATGATTTTCTTCGTTAGCAAAGCATTTGTACTTTTTTTTCTTAGCAAAGCATCAATTTGTTGTCAACAATTTCAATTATTCTGATCCTCTTTGGCTTGTTTGTATCGGAATAGATGTAACTGGAAGCAGAAATGGATATGCATTCAAGCAACCCTGGTCCAATTGATGATTCTGTCCTTTATGATCAAGATAAGCATGTCTCAGCTGCTGTTTGGGAGGGGCAGGTGACACTGTATATGAATAGTTGTCCATCTTTGATTTCTTCTTTTGTCGAAATATATCTGCAGATTCTAATTTTAATATCAAACAGGAACGAGGTGCACTTAGGTGCCATGAACATACCTCAAAGCTGGATCGCTGGGTTCTTACTGATAAGCAAATTGAATTGGTAAAGAAGGCTGGATTTGGTTTCTTGAGATTGATACCTGCTATTAGTTTGGATAACCCACTTATCTCTGCGTTGGTTGAGAGATGGAGAAGAGAAACAAACACATTCCATTTCACTGTAGGAGAGATGACAGTGACTCTGGAAGATGTCGCATATTTGCTGGGGCTACCAATTGATGGTGAACCAGTTATAGGTGTTACATATACCACATGTGATGCAGTATGTGTCAAATATTTAGGAAAAGGACCAGGTTCTGGGTACACGAGTGGTGGAATGGTGAAACTTAGCTGGTTGAAAGAGAGCTTCTCTCATTGTCCCGAGGATGCTTCAGATGAAGATGTTGAGTGTTACACCCGTGCCTATCTTCTTTATCTTGTTGGTAGCACAATATTTTCAACAACCACCGGTAACAAAGTCCCTGTGATGTACCTTCCGTTGTTTGAAGACTTTGAAGAAGCAGGGAAATATGCATGGGGTGCAGCAGCATTATCTTTTTTGTATAGAGCGCTTGGTAATGCCTCATTGAAATCTCAGAGCACAATTAGTGGTTGCTTAACTCTGCTACAGGTCAGTTGAAGCTGACTAGCTCTCTTTCTTTTCTTGGCTTTTGGTACCTAGATATTAGGAAATTCAAGCCTTAGAGAGCAAGCATTGCTGTATTTCTATTAGTTATTTGATGTGGTATGTTGCTTTTCAAAAGATTTAGTTGACAGATTTACCTGTATCTGGAAATCACCTGTTGCAGTGCTGGAGCTACTATCATCTTAATGTTGGTAGACCTCGACTTAAGCATGATCCAATCCATGAATGTTTTCCATTTGTGCTCCGTTGGAAAGGTAAACAAAGTGGTCCAACATCAAATCGTGATGTAGCCTTCTACCGTAAAGCATTGGACTCCCTCAAGGCATCTGACGTAAGTTTGTTATGTGATGCATGTTATTTAATGTTAGAGATCCTTGTCTATTTTCTTGTTATGTGATGCTTGTTGTTTAATGTCACAGATCCTTGTCTATTTTCTTGTTTTGTGACGTAAGTTTGTTATGTGATGCATGTTGTTTAATGTTACAGACCCTTGTCTATTTTCTTGTTAATTAGTGTAACAAGTAATTTGTTCATGTACAGGTAAATTGGTCTCCTTATACAAATATCGGTCATACTGTTATACCAGTAAATATTATAAATAGTCTCATTCTTGGGAGATCAAAGACAATGTTGATATGCTTTGACAAAGCAGAGAGACACCTTCCAGACCGTTGCCTGAGGCAGTTTGACATGACTCAAACAATCCCAGAAGATGTACAAAAGTGGGAGAGGAAGAGCCGTGGAGTAGATGGCGGGGTAGACCTCTCTTTGAAAATGGAATCAGAGCTCAATGAATGGTCATATCGCCGTCTCCATATTGTTGAGGCTGAAGAAGATGTCGAGGAAAGTGAATACATGCACTGGTACTTGAGAATAACACGCAAGTTGGTTGGTAGGCCCATACCGATCTCATCGGAGTTTCAGAGAATGGTAAGCCTTGTAATTTTCTTATAATGCATGCAATATTAATAAAAACATCACTTACTGTCACTGGCAATTCAATTCTGTTAGTTCAGGTTTTTTTGTCCACTTTTTTTTCTTTTAATTAGAGCTGTGTACGATGCTGACATGCATATATGTGGTAATACTATGTATGCATTGATTCTTTGTGCATCTTCTGATTTATTCTTTATCTGCTGATGCGGACTATAGAATGCAGCACTGAGGGACATTGCCCATGTGGCAGATACTCTTTCCACGCATGGGATGGATGACCAACAGATACAGGCAGTGTCAAGAATCAGGTATGTTGCACATGAGTGCTTGAGGGACCAGTTTGGGGTTTCATTGGTGGTGGCCTCCGTGCCAAATGAAGTAGGGAAAAGGACAAGAGGGAAGGAGAAGGTAAGGAGGAAGGGCATGGGAAAACGGAGAAAAAAAGAAGACACAGATCATCATAGTTTGTACCGCTTGAATCCCATGGCCAGTCAACTAGTTTCATATCCTGCAGAAAATGAGCTTGATCATGCGCTGCAGTGTCTTCCTCCAAGTGAGACAGAGAATGTACGGGCATCTCTTATGGTTCACAAAGTTGATGAAGTAGAGGTTTGTGATGATTCTAATGAGGTTGATGATTTGCACTTCCGCCATACAGCTGAAGAAGATGATGATGATCAACCTTCACAGGGAGCAAGTGAAAGTGCTGCAGAGTTGCCTTGTACAGCTACTGAGGTTGTTCAACAACCCTCTCTGGAAAGCACTGAGGATGTTGCTCGGCAAGTGGAGGCACATTAATCTGTGTGTCTTTTAGTGTTGACTACAAGAGGTTTATTCTTTTGAATTTTATCTACCGTCTTACTTGTGGACTCTATAACCTCTTTTCTTCGTGGGTTAATGACTCTATCAATTACATTGTCATTTTTGCAGGCATTCTAGGATGATCATCTGCCATGATGAATTGCTCTTTCGTGGAGCCTCGAAATCTTTTAAGCCTCCAAATATCTTGTTATGTCAGGCTGTCTCTGATTAGTTAGGTAGACCGTAATAGTTTCTTCTGTTTACCTGTAGCCTTTCTGGTTGTAATTTAACACAGAAAGGAATGTGATTGTAATTCATTTTGACTTGTCATGTTTTATATTTAAATGATTAGGTATATTCTTAGTGATTAAGGAATTTTGGTAGCTATTTCTGGCCTTTAATTCATCGATCCCCAGAAGTGGTTCGATGGCATTGCTAAATTATCATAAACTGCTGTGATAAACGATGTGATCGCTTTCGTTGCTTACTGATTGCTCCTTTCACCTCTTCAAGTCGATAATATAATTTATACATGGCTTACGAAGCAAGAATCTGTTCATCACTGGGTTCAATGACACGGCTAATAACTCGATAGCCAATCATCTTAGCCTTTTTGGATCAACCTGGTTTCCTGAATGCCTAATGTGCCATTGCGTAATTAGTCTTAAATGAATCTCCAAGCCAATATGGACATAGCTCCATGGTCCTGATCCTCGAAATTCTCTTTAGCTTTTTGGCTTGAAATTTTCTTGTGAAGTGTTGTGGTTTTAGTAGCAATTTTCGTGTTAATGCTGATTTAGAGTTCAAATGCCATTTGATATACAACATTATGGATATGAAAGTTTACTGTCTTTGTATGTGAAATGGTGCTGGAAGTGAAGTTCAGAAACAAAAAGGATACCAGAATATGCCGAAACAGGGGTCCACAAAATGAGACCTTATCAAAAATCAGCCAATCAACTTCAAATCTTTGTTCCGCTCAGGGATCTGCTGTCCAAACAAGCACTATCCATTTTGGAGTTCTTTTTCGTTCTCCACAGAAGACTTTAAAAGAAAATGTCAATTCATCTGGATTCAAACATAATTAACAGGTGATTCGAAATTATGGCCAATTCATTGTTAACCCAAGCAGCACCAGCAACTACAGCAATACCAATTTCAACGAGATCAAAGCAGAGTAATGCTACTCAGTCGCCTTTGAGTTTCCCTAGAGTTTCTGCATTTCATCGTGGTTCTGATCAAGCTCCAGGCCCCAACCTTCTCTACCGCAGGTTTGCTTAACAATGCAGTTTGGTTCTGTTTCTTGTATGTTGTGTGGCTTTGCCTAGACTGTTATGAAAGCCAAATGATCCTTCACTGCCAAAAGAAAATCCATTATAAAGTTCTTCTGTCCAAAATTAAAGATTCATATCCAGTAAAAATACAGGTCTTGGTGATTGTAGTTTAGATAGCTAACGCAATTCTTTAAAAGAAGAAAATAGAAGTAAAACCTAAGCACGAATTTCTCTAGGGAAATGAAATAACTTGACATGTTGGAAATGCCAAACTTTTAAACATTGTCAAATGGAGTTCAACCACTAAATGATTTTTCCAATTCTCAGTGGCACTTGGGCTTTGCCTTCGCTGGTTTGAGCAAAATTTGCTATCTTATCTACACGAAAATGATAGATTGACTCAGTTACAATGCCTAACAATAGTTAATCTATGTGTATAAGTTTCCAAGAATGCTTTACTTTCATCACTTCTCTGTAAAAAAAAAAAGACACAGGAACAGAAAAGAAGTACTATCAGTTTAGGGATATGGACATCTTCTTGAATCATGGGGGTTTTTCCTGTCATGCAGAAGTCTTGCATTTGGTTTGGTTGGTGCAGTGCTAGGCTTGAACTCGGCTGAAAAAAGTGCAGGTGCTGCTGCTAGAAGACCACCACCACCTCCTCCGGAGGAGAAAAAGGACCCCAATGTGAGCGGCCTAACGGCCAAAGTTCTAGCAAGTAAGAGGAGGAAGGAAGCCATGAAAGAAAATGTGGCCAAGCTGAGAAAGCAAGGGAAGCCTATTATTACTGAACCATCTGAATAGCTTTGTTTTCTTTTTTTTTTCTTTTTCTTTTTGGCATTTGAGCAATAGTTTCTTGGTATAGATTTCAATCTTTCCTGTCCAATTTCAAGAATTGTCTTTTACAAAAGAACGAAAACTATTATCCAAAATGTCATGAATTAGAGAATGAATCCACTTTTACTCACTTTTGGAGAGATAACAGTCAAGCCAAAATCCATAACTAAATTATCCAATCGGGCTAAAAGCTTGGTAAGTACCCCCTCCTCCACCTTGTAACCAAAACCTGGAAATTCAACGAAAAACATACTAATACACTATACATAATGAGCGAGAATAATCTTTGACTGCAAATGAGTTGTTGCACATTCTGAGAGTGAAAAATTATAATCAAGCGATTTCGTTCTGAAGGTCAGGGGCAGCCAGACTCCTATGAATGAGGTCATATCCACAAGTTCATTATAATAGGAGATCAGGTGGGCTTGGTAATGGATCGAACAAATAAATAATACTGATTCTAGACCGTTTTGAGTTGGTTTTGGCTGGAGAATAAGAGTCTTTGTTCGATGTCTGATAATTAGGATTCAAATGTCACTGTCTCTGCTTCCTCTTCTTCCTTCTTTCCTCCCCCTCCTTCCAAACAATTTAAGTTTTGGAACATAATTAGTTTCTCCTTGCATTTAAAGTAGATATACGAGATTATTCTCCAAGAAATTTGTTTCCCACTCTTGTTTATCGCCAATATCCATCCCATTGAATTTTCTTCCTTGTGGTATATATTCTAATCTATAAACAAACTAGTGTGAGAGTACGATCTATGCACACGTAAGAAAGAAATTTGCTTAAAAATTTTGGGAAAATGGTCAATTTTGTCCTTAAAATTTTTTCTATTGTCGATTTAGTTCCTAACTTTTATTTCTAACCAATTTAATTCATGAACGTATTTTGAAATTCCAATTAAGGACCTATGTGATGGTGCCACCACCTAAAACCGATTTGACTCCTAATTAATCAACTAAACAGTGGTATTTTGGGAACGTCACTCAAGAGTTGTAATGAATTAAGTAAATTATGTAAAAAATCACAAGATTAAATTTTAAAAAATTTTATCTGGTGATTTTTTACACGATTTACTTGTTTTATTATAGTCTTGTGAGTGATATTCCTATAATACTCTATTTGGTTAATCAATTAAGAGTTAGATGGGTTTTAAGTAGTTGTGCCACTGCAGAGGTCCTTAAATGGAACTGCAAAATAAGTTCAAGTACCAAATTGCTCAAAAATAAAAGTTAGGGACTAAATCGATACTAAAAAAATTATTTAGAGACGAAATTGATCATTTCTTCAAAAAAAAAAAAAATTATCCCTATAACCAATACCTTAAATGTCTATATTACTCCAATAACCTTCCAAAACTCATAACAAGAGTTAAAACTCTTGGGAATTTGAGGAATTGAGGGGACGCTTGTCCACAGGTTGAAAGCGCTCTCTAGCAAGGCCGGAACTAGCGAGGGACGCGGAGGGACCACCTCGCCCCAAGTTCTAGATATTCACATTTTCTCCCTTTAAATTTTTGATAATTTTGAAAAGGGAAATTTGTCAAATTGGTCCCTAACATTTACCAAAAACACTTTTTTAGTCCTTTACATATAAAATCAGCCAGAATGGTCCTTCACATTTAAATTGTGAGCCAATGTGGTCATATTGCTCGTTTTTACTCATTTCTCCGGCTAAAAATAGCACGCCCCTCTCATATGGTCATATTTTTAGAGGCAAAACCGGAAACACATTTCATTACCCGTTGAAAGTAAAAGGAATGGACAACCACCAAAATACACATTTCACCTTTGGCTCTCAAAGTTTCAAGAAACCCTAAATTGCATCCCCGAATTAACAAGCATTACTTGGAAATGTACTGGTGATGATGACGACGACAAACCTGTAAGGTGTGATTGAGAAATAATCGAAAATTTGGCCAGAAATTCGTGAAGAAAATAAAAAAGATGCAGACCGAATCGGGAAAATGGGATTTCACAATGGGTTTCTTGAAACTGCTGTTGGCTGTTGAATAAGTAGTGTGTATTTAGCTCGAATCTCATTTTTCAGCATTCCACTGCTGTTGGCGTTTGCTAAATTCTGATTTTTTTCGAAGGATCTTTTAGTTTCATGCCCTTATATATATATATATATATATATATATATATATATATATCTAGCAGCAGAAGAGATGTCTGTGGCGGCTTCGGCTGCTACTGCTGCTGTTGGGGCTGGGGCGGTCGCCTTGTTCAGACTAAACAGGTTGCCTTCTTCTCCCTCCACCTCTTCCTGCTCTTGTCTTCTTCTCAAAGGACTCCGAGCTTTTGCACCATTTCCATACCGATACCACTTCGCTTCTTATTCTACTTCTACTTTGCTTTCACAAGAAGCAGCAGCTGCTGCTTCCCATCTTCCACGCTCACATGCCGCCAATACCTCCTCCAGTGTGGTGGAAATTCTTGAAGAGAGGGGCCTGCTGGAATCTCTCACCAGCGATAGTCTCAGGTCCATCTGCTCCTCCTTTGCCCCTAACCAACCACCTCTTCGAGTCTACTGTGGTTTCAACCCCACCGTCGACAGCCTCCACCTCAGCAATCTCCTTGGTATTATTGTTCTCTCTTGGTTCCTCCGCTGCGGTCACCGTGCTGTTGCCCTCATTGGGGGAGCCACCGGCCGCATAGGTGACCCTTCTGGCAAGAGTTCCGAAAGGCCTGAGCTTGACCTTGAAACCCTCCAGAAGAACATTTCTGGGATTTTCACCACCATTCGGGGATGCAATTTAGGGTTTCTTGAAACTTTGAGAGCCAAAGGTGAAATGTGTATTTTGGTGGTTGTCCATTCCTTTTACTTTCAACGGGTAATGAAATGTGTTTCCGGTTTTGCCCCTAAAAATATGACCATGTGAGAGGGGCGTGCTATTTTTAGCCGGAGAAATGAGCAAAAACGAGCAATAAGACCACATTGGCTCACAATTTAAATATGAAGGACCATTCTGGCTGATTTTATATGTAAATGACTAAAAAAGTGTTTTTGGTAAATGTTAGGGACCAATTTGGCAAATTTCCCTTTTGAAAACAAATCTCATGTATTTAAAGTTATTTGTCCTTTCAAAAAGTTTCAAAACATATTATATTGATTTGAAAGTTTATATGGTTATCTATTTCGGTCCCTCAAATTAAAATTTCCAGTCCCGTCCATATTTATTCATTGATAATATGTATTACAGCAAACATGTATTAAAATAGAAGAGTATTTTTGTTCAAAATTTGTTAACATGCTTAATTGAATTACTTATGGGATAAAATAATTAAAATATAACATTAGACGATATAATTGATAGTAGTGATATAATTTAAGAAAATAAAGTGATAATAACTCTTATCTTGATTTAAAAGTTTATATGCATATTTATTTCCGTCCATCAAATTAAAATTTCTAGATCCGACCTCTAGTGCATATTTATTCGTTGACAACACGTATTACAACAAATTTTTTTTTCTATTGTCGACCTAGTTCCTAACTTTTATTTCTAATTAATTTAATTCGTGAACGTATTTTGAAATTCCAATTAAGGACCTATGTGATGGTGTCACCACCTAAAACCGATTTGACTCCTAATTAATCAACTAAACAGTGGTATTTTAGGAACGTCATTCAAGAGTTGTAATAAATTAAGTAAATCGTGTAAGAAAACACAAGATTAAATTTTAAAAAGTTTTTATCTGGTGATTTTTTATACGATTTACTTGTTTTATTATAGTCTTGTGAGTGATATTCCTATAATACTCTATTTAGTTAATCAATTAAAAGCTAGATGGGTTTTAAGTAGTTGTGCCACTGCAAAGGTCCTTAAATGGAACTGCAAAATAAGTTCAAGTACCAAATTGCTCAGAAATAAAAGTTAGGGACTCAATCAACACTCAAAAAAATGTTTAGAGACGAAATTGACCATTTGTTAAAAAAAAAAAAAATTTATCCCTATAACCAATACCTTAAATGTCTCTATCACTCCAATAACCTTCCAAAACTCATTACAAGAGTTAAAACTCTAGGGAATTTGAGGAATTGAGGGGACGCTTGTCCACAGGTTGAAAGCGCTCTCTAGCAAGGCCGGAACTAGGAGCAAGTTCTAGATACTCATATTTTCTCCCTTTAAATTTTTGATAATTTTGAAAACAAATCTTATGTATTTAAAGTTATTTGTCCTTTCAAAAAGTTTCAAAACATATTATATTGATTTGAAAGTTTATATGCTTATCTATTTCCGTCCCTCAAATTAAAATTTCTAGTCCCGTCCATATTTATTCATTGATAACATGTATTACAGCGAACATGTATTCAAATAGAAGAGTATTTTTGTTCAAAATTTGTTAACATGTTGAGTTGAATTATTTATGGGGTAAAGTAATTAAAATATAATATTAGACGATATAATTGATAGTAGTAATATAGTTTAAAAAAATAAAGTGATAATAACTCTTATATTGATTTGAAAGTTTACATGCATATTTATTTCCGTCCATCAAATTAAAATTTCTAGTTCCGACCTTTAGTGCATATATATTCATTGAACTGACATATAGTACAGCAAATGAAGAGAAAAAGACGGAGCTCATGAAACAAGTTTTCTCAAGAGTAGCATCAAAACTACCAGAAATCGGCCTCTCTTGAGTCACCTATGAAATCGTCATCAAAACAAAAATAGAAAGGGAAACCAAATATGAACACACACAAAAAAAAGTCTTTTCCAATTCGAATTCTCTCAATGAATCCAAGACAGACTATATTAGGTCTTTCCGGCACGCAGCCTCAAGTGTCAAATCTTACCGAGAAAGCAAATGCCAATCAATGATGGAGAACTGAAGCCAAAGTTACGAACCAGAACCAGAACCAGAAGAAAATCCAACCCATGTTCCTGGCGAGCTCATCGATGAAATAATTCTATTGGTTCCAGTGAAATCCCTGTTGAGATTCAGGTGCGTTTCCAAATCACGGCTTTCCTTAATCTCGAGCCCACAATTCATCCGTGCCCATCTCAACAAATCTTCCAACAACAACGATTACAATCACCATCGACTGATTTTTCATGTTCGCCCCTAGAAACATGTATGACAATTATGGTGATGAGGTCCATTATCTCACGCAGTGCTCTCTACGTCCTGTACTATATGCTCCTATCACCGAGGCAACCAACATTCAATATCCCTTTCGATGCAAAAGCCGAATTAGGAGTTATTATAATTTTCAGATCGTGGGTTCTTCTAATGGATTGATACGTGTTGCAGCAGACAGAGATATTTTCTTGTGGAATCCAGCAATTAGAAAGTCCGCCGAACTTGGAACGTCCTGGCTCGATTCTTGTAGGATATGGGTTTGGCTTTGATGAATGAATCTAAGGATGATTATAAAGTGTTCCGAATTCGTCACTACGGTGACATTATGATGGGGCAAAACTGGCCGGATGTGTACATTAGAAGCTGGCTAGGTGTTAATGTTTACTCCTTCCTTCACATTACCTCTGCATGTTGAAGGGCAAACTTGAACGTTTTGGTCAAGTTGGACTAAGGTTTTACTATAGAAAAGCAGAGCTAATGCTGATTACTGTAATTATACCTGACAATTGGGTGGATTTGACGGGTTTTGGACGGGTTGATATTGGGTTTTTCACTTAAATGGGTTGTACCCAACCCGTCCAACTTTAGATTGGGTTGATTTTGGGTTGGGCCATATTGGGTTATCTTAAATCCATGACCCAAATATAACCCAACATATTAATTAATGCATTTTAATACATAAACTTTCTTACATACATTTTAACACACAAACAAGATTTTTTTTCACATATATGAACACATTTTCACATACATAAATGTATTTTCACACATACAAACACACTCACTTCTTAAGTTCCTTGGAAACATATCATAAATAAAATAATATTTTATATTGCTCGTATTGTGAATTTTAGATAATATATTGTACATTGAAATAGATTAGCTAAAAAAATTGTTTGCTTTATACTTTTTAATACTACTAATTGATTGAAACTTATTTTTGTCTCAACTTATTAACACTTTTACTATTCATATCTGCTTTATTGTAAATTGTAATATTCTATGTATTTAAATTATTGAATGCTAGATTATATTATACTTGAAAATGTAAGTAAGAAACATATATTTGTTGTAGAATAATATTGAAATTATAGAAAATAAGTTTGTATTTTAGTCTTTATATTCTCAAAAATTTTATGATTCATGACTCTAGAAATTTTGCCAACTGTTATGAAAGGTCCGTGCATTAGAACTCCATTCTGGGGATAATATATGCAAATTGCTTTCTTCCATTAAATGACCGGAGACATTACTGCATTTTGATTCTTGGACTCGCTAATTAAGAGGGAAAATTAATTGCCTTGCTGATTGTAAGCTTCTCATGAAGTTAAAGATTGGAGGTATTCGTTGGACTAGCCATGCCCAAGTTGCCATAATTAATCAAAATGAAATAGAATCTACAAGTCAACTATATTGATTCGAAATTAATATCATGATCTATATAATATAATATATATATTAGAAGGTATTTTTTTTATTGATTTGATACACATCACCAGATTAATTAGAATCATCTAGAATCATACTTAATGCTATGGTCATATTAATCTTTTAGAATTACCACACCACTGATATAAAGTAGAAAATATTATATGCTCGTAGAAAGTACTAGTATTGGTCCCCAAAAAATTATTAAGGAAAATCCCAAACTTTTTAAGAAATAAATGAGAAGAGAATTCATGAACTATTCTAACATTTTTACCTCATCGGGACCGCATTATTTTGAATTAGCGAAAAATTAGGCCGATACAAAGTAAGCTTTGTTTGTAAATTAGAAGAATAAAATATTATATAATGCTAAAAGGTTAAAAAAGAAATTTGTACAATATTATACATACATGAAATATAACATACATGTATTTATTATTTTGAATTACTTTTAAACAAGTTGGGTATTGGATACCCAAATAAAAAATCCAACCCGCCCAATAAATAAGTTGGATTGTTCATACCCAACCCAACAAAACCCATAACCCAATTGGCCTAACCCATCCTCTAAAATTAACGGACGGGTTGTTGGGTTTTGGACTTTTTGGCCGGCTCTAACTGTAATCAACTAACTCTAGGGGTTAAAATCACAGCTTTGCTCTTCATTTCTTTTTTTTTTTTTTTGGGTGCTTTGCTCTTCAATTATTGTGACTGAACAAACAATGAATACAATTCCTTTTTAAAAAAAAAAAAATTTGTGACTGGAAAAAAGACTAATGTTCTATAAACTACCTTCTTTGAAGCCCTTCGAAGATATGATCTTTGGTTTTGCATTTGTGGTCACATGCTTAATTGGCTTAGCATCTTTCTAACAAAGAAAACAATTAGATACGTTACAAGGAAATTTTATCACTAATTTGGCAAATTATTTGGAAATTTAGCAATTCGTCACTGCCATGATATATATCTACCATTTTAATCTAACGATAACACTCTACATTACTCCTATATTATGGGGGGATTTTTTTTTTAATCTAATATAGCAATCTACACTACTCCTACATTACGAGAGAAAGGGAACTCAATTGAGGTTGTATGGCAGCTGGAGGGTGAATCTCAAAACCAGATAAGTGCCCTACCTATTCTTGAATTTTTTTTTTTTTTTTTTTTTGCCCAGTGGTTAGATGTTGGCTTATCAAGTGGATTCATAGTTTAATCAAAAACCTTCCTAGACTCCTAAGCACAAGGATTCCAGCAAGATTTATCCTTCAGCATTACAAACTACTTGTCAAGCAGTAAAGGCTTTTTGAAAAAAATTTAAGGGTTGTGCCATAGCACTCCCTTAATCTAGTTGGGTCTGTAT